ATACGCCGCTCCTTGGCAACTGCTGCCTCCACTACTCGTTTGATAGCTGGCAAAGCTTGCGGACACACTCCGTCATAGAAATGAGGAGACAGTGTTGTTGAGAACGCTGTGGCTGCAAGAGCCAGCAAGACAAAGATTTGAATCTGTAAACTGCGGTCGGAAGCCATGTAAGCAACTCTGATTTTGGTAGCTAGATTTTTGTAATACTATGATTGTGTTTGTTTGTGTTTGAGGCTGTGATACCAGCACTGGTATTTATATATAGGGAAATAAAAGAAAACACTACATGGGAAATATTTTGATCCATCTCGGACTTAGCCAACGGGACTCTTTCTTATGTCTGACCTTCACGGCTAGCTAGACACGCGGTTTGATTAAACAAATTGGAAAGTGGAGAGCAGTTAAGAGCAAGATTAAACTTTGGTTGCACCTAATTTACTTGAAACATAAGCATATATAAGTTAAAGAAGTTAATTTGTCAAGTAAACAAACAATTTAATGAGGATGGTTGGAGATTTTTATCTTTTGGTATGTGATTAATAATTAATCTTCCCTTTCAAATATATTTATAATTATTTTAATATTGAAATATAAAATCTTCAAATACTGAGAAATTGAAATGTGATTTGAAGCAAAGGGTAAGCGATTTGGGATAAAGGCAAGGGGCAAATATGTTTTTTACTTTTATCAAGGCAATTATGTAACTTAAACTAAATTAGAGAAAAGATCAAATATTAATGTATAATTAATGACTTATATATAAGTATTTATAAATAAAATATTTTAAGATATATATAATATTATTAATAATGTAAATACGATTTGAATAATGTGAATAGTTAATTGTCAATTTTTGTATTTATATTTTAACAATTTAAAATAATTTTATATATGTAGTATTTTATAACTAATTGTAATTGTTTAAGGTGTGAATTAAACATTAAATAATATTAGAAAGAATTAAAACAAGTATCCTCCAATCTTTGCTTTATTCCCAACGGACAAGTAATATTTTGCTTCATTTTTCAAATTATATACAGTTTATTTTTTCCTTGCAAATCCTAATTGACACTCAATATATGTTGAAGGTATCGAAGCAGACCTGGTACTAATCCTTTCTTTCATCTCAAGTTAAGGAAGCGCAACGTCTTTATATTAGGACATGTTATGCGTGTCTCATTCCGGAGAGGCAAGGACCATGTCAAAAGCTCATTTTCTTCCACTTTGGCCTAAAAAGAGGTAGTGGAAACGAACCCCACCTGCTAACCTACTTGTTATAAATGGGTTAGACTGAGTCGGAATTCATTTATGATCTGATCCTTTTTTCCTTGTGGGGAAGGGATGATTTGAAACAATGCCAAGGCTTTGGGGTCTACCTTCACATCTAAATGGGCTGACAGCTTAGCTGCTTATGGTATGGTCATCGTTTTAAAATTTGGACTGACTCGGGCGGTTTAACCAAACTTAATTACAAAATAAGTATGAAATATGTTTTACTATATTTGGAAGAAAAATTGGATAAAACTCGGCAAACTTAATCAACCCATTGACTTGACCTGAACAGTATCAAAATTATTCTAACAACTCCAAGGCAACAACTCCAAGGTCCAAACTTTCAATTTGTTTCCTTGTCATATTTTTTTTCCCCCTTAATATTATTAGTAAAAAAGAATATTCATATTTTCTACTCATTAATTAAAAAAAACAT